CATGGGACAAAATTGTCCCTAAAAGCAGTTTTTCTATCAAAATTTTGACTATGACAATAAACAAAATATGACTGCAGTCTTAAGCTTTATGATCATGTATTGTTGGAATTAGAAGTGGAAGTTTGGAAAGAAATCTCGGATTTCAAAGGGATGGTGTTTGAAAACTCTAGAAGTTCAAATGTACAGTAGAATTTTTGATATAGTTCAAACTCCTCCTTGTGTCTTAAGACTATGAAAAGACGTAGAGGTCCTGATCAGTAATTCACCTTAAGCTTAATAATGTAAAACACTAGTTAATATGTCGGTGGCACCCAACATTGGGTGCCATTGCCCCACGGGGCGGTCATAGTGGCACCCACCGGTGGGTGCCATTGTCGCCAAAGGGTTAACTGGGTATTTTTAAAGCTCAATTGACTGCTCCTCCAATTGCACTTTCATCACTCGTATATTACCCCTGTGATGATCACTAGTGACCATTATAGAGGTGATTGAAATGATTTATCTCACTCTCCATTCGTTGGGAAAGACCTGCCTAATTTCAGACCAACGAGAGTTAACCAAAAAAAGGTTACTGGGGCGTCTCACGCCACCTCGGTGCTTCTCAGTGTATCGTTACAAATGATTACACTAGATCCCATAAGGGACTCTGGACTTGTACATAATTGAGAAATGAGAACAAAAATTGACACTGCTTTTGAAGTGGAAATGGCAGGATTCCTCGCAAGCTTGAGAAGCTCTTAGAAACAAAGCTGGATCAGTGCTGCAAACTCCGAGATTGGCCCTACTAGTGAGAAGGACACAGTGAGCGAAATTCGTAGGGTCCGCACATACATGGATCACTCCAGCTTACAAGGAATGGTTCAATCCGTCGGTCCGGCCATTTAAAATGAGGTGTTGCCCGATGCAAGCGTCTTGCGACGCTGAGCTCAAATCCGTTTCGGTGGATGAAGTTACGAGGAATTCTTCTCACTGTGGCGCCCTCTACATCCCCCTATCCCACTTGGCTCGCGTAAAAACAGAACGAACGAACAGAACGCATAACAGAATAACAATTATAAACGCTTTCTGGGCTCGTATGAGCAGCCTTGAAAAAAACATCAACGATCATATACAGGGGGGGGGCCAAAAAAAAAGACATTTTGCCTATGTCGGACTTCGGCTCTTTTTTCTTCGCAGAGATTGCTGTCGTTGACGGGAGTTCCTCAGCAGAGTATTCCCTAAGTGTTCCTCTATTAGTGTACGCAGGCTCTCCTTCACTGCCCTCACCGTCTTCAGAATATGACGTCATCTGTCACCGTCGTCAGGCTCAAGGAGGTCTACCGTAAGAGCTTCAGCCTGAAGCTCTTACGCAATTTCGTGAATCGATTTAATGTTGGATAGTTTTCTAGAGGCATTAGCTACCACTGTGCAAATCCCCTCGGAACTAGCTTTCCAGTAAGGGTCGTTATGGTACACGATCCTTCGAAGACCCCATTGAGATCGACCAGTGCACCATGTTTCCAGGGCTAATTCTTCTGATGCCGTCCACGTACGTGGCCACTATGAAGATTTTCTTATAGAATGGAATGCACTCTTTAATAATAAGTTGGAACCGTTCGGTCTGAGTTGAGTAAAATGTGCTTAAATCCATCTGGAAGTGGAGGCAAAATGTCTTTTTTTTTGGCCCCCCCTGTATATATACTGGGCTCTGCGTGCTCTTTCAGGCGAGCCGAGTGGGAACAGAGAATGTAGAGGGCCGCCACGTTAGATTACCACAATTGAAAAAAATCCCTCGTGCTACGATTCAAGATACGTTCGCAAGTTTAATCGAAACCGATTGAGCCTCAGCGTCCCGCAAGACGTTGCAAAACTACCCCGCATTACAATTGGTCAGACCGACCAATTGCCCACTCCTTGTTAGTAGCAAAAACTCAGCGAGTAGGGCGCTAATCCTTACGGGCCTGCAACCATCGGCCTCGCTGTAACGATTCCAACCCACGGCGACTGATATAGAAATCATCGGCTTCTCTAAGCGGCGTTGCTCTAGTCGCGTTGTTTGTCTTCTTTGCGATCGTCCTTTTCTCCCCATCGTACCACAATTAACCTTATTGAAGGTCAAGGCTTTAACTTTCGCGTACCCAAAGATCCCTCTTGGTTTCCTTCCCACTTTCAGATCGTTCTGCAGCTGAGTCATCACTACGAAGCGCTCTTATCACCGGTTTTATCTTGAGGTTGACTTTAACATTATTTTGTCTTCGTCTTTTCAAATGGCAGCGATACTCGTATGACTTGCGTTTAAGAGGCCTTGTGGCAGAATCGGATATTCCCCTTCATTTTCCTTCCCTGTTTCTCCTCTCACTGTGTTTGCTCAATGAATTTAGGCGCTGCAACGAGTGCTGAGAGAACGCCTGGCAACGGGTTTGGGCAGTTAGATGCCCAAATTGGTGCTGCTGCTTGTTGGTAACTTTAAACATGCCCAAATCGGTCAATCTGAGCTGCATTCTCAAATTTGGTTGGTACGCGTTTGAAACTACAAGACTTGCAGAATGATAACATTCTCATCACATTTGTGAAATCACTTTCACAAGGCAAATTCCCGTTAGAACAAAAAAAAACTATGGTTGCGAGTCGGCACGTAAGATCAGAGCACACCCCTACTAATTTTTGGCACAAAACCAACCTTTTCCTAACACTCACTGTTCACTCGAGAAGACGTACCAGTCCATTCGTTGTACACATTCACGGAAATTTGTAATTTCACTTTGAAACTGCATATTGTTATACGACTGAATTTATCGTAAGGTTTTAATGATTAAGGCGTGTAATTGTATTTTTTCTATTCCGTGGTGTGCTTTTTGTTTTCTGCAGTCTCAAGATGGTCAGTATAAGGCTTCGTGAGTTAGTAATAATAACCATCTTATAATAATATTATCTATGGTCGCAGGAAACACTCACACTGTCCCCTTCGACTCTAGAGGTTATTGTTACAAACTTGACATGCATACCAGTGGTTTCGAAAAAGTTGGTAATTCGCCGAAGAGACGACCAGCCGTCTTGCTTTGGTTTCCAGGATCTGACGCAATGTTCGTTTCATTACCTTTCGACATAGCAACTAATGAGTTAGGTACCATGACGATGACTGTGCCTCGCTGTTTCCTATGCTACTTCGATTTACGTGCTATATAAAGGGGGAACAAAACGGCCTCTTTACACATCTCACTTCGAATGTGATAGTGATCACTGAACTAGACATTACAGCGGAACCATCCAAAACATTCACTCAAAACATACTGAGCGCTCTTACACCCAACATAATGAATTATTACTAAATACGGGTCTGAGCAAAATAACTGATCGGAAACTTTATGCGAACAGTTGAGTTGAGGTGCGAACACTAATTTTTGGCGAAAATCATTAATTGTTGAGACCACCGCCACGACACTAATTGTAGGTGCTCAATTGCGGCACCTCTTCTTTGGATGAAAACCATGCTAACCTGCGCTACGGACATTGCGTGAAAGAACCGTATACCATACTACGATCGCCTAGAAGTAGAAGACGTTATGACGGCTTGTAGGTACGCGAGAATTGCTACGACTTTGTTGTGGTCGCTCCTGAATGCTGCTCTTCTTTATAATGATGTAGTGGATGCTGCGATGAGGTGTCTGCTGCGTGTCCCATGTCGTCATTACTCGGTATACAATATCTCTTAGACTCAATCTGACATCATCTATCACACAATCATCCAACACATCTCGCATGCATAACTGGAAAAGAATTACAACTTTAGCTGACCTATATGGCACCCCCTGGTCAAGGCGACCACAAACAGAAAAAAAGACTCTTTCCACGCAAAGATTAATCACATCTGCTCACCGACACTGGTGGGTCAATTGGGTTTGTTGTAATGATTGGGTTTTTTTCTTGATTAATCTTCAACTGATTCAGTTCTCGATGTGAGACTTACTCGCATAAGGGCCTTCTAGCTTGATTATAACCGTTTAATATCACCAGCCACAAATTCGGGAAATGGCCTGTGAATGGTCTAGAGAACTTCCGTGTAGCTCCGCCTTCACTGACTAAGACTTCCTCTTTCTCACTTTCAACTTGTTGAACCATGTTCTGGCTTGGACTTGTCTGTATATTCACTTTTTGTCAGGCAGAACAGATCAAAAAATTACCTGGAGCAAGCTCTAAGCTCAAGTCTAAACACTACTCCGGATTCTTTAACGTTACCAATAAACACTTTCTTCATTATTGGTACGCTATCTTGCTATGGATTTATACTACATAAGTGATCCTCTGCTGTGGCGTTTCCCTTATAGTTCGCATTTTTAGGTTCGTAGAGTCTCAAAATAATCCAAAAAAGGACCCGATAATCTTCTGGTTTAATGGCGGTCCGGGATGTTCTTCACTGGATGGACTTCTCAACGAAATGGGACCGTACTTTGTAAATCTCGACGGAAAAGGTCTCAGAGAAAATCCTCATTCTTGGACTGAGGTAGGTACAGAGTTTATCTTAAGTAGTTTTCAGCCGCTCTTGGAAATTGTAACTTCCTCCAGATGGCTTCAATGGTATTCATTGAATCCCCTGTAGGGGTGGGATACTCATATTCTACCGATGGGAACATCACCTCCGACGATGACCGGACGTCGCTTGAAAATTACGAAGCTATCAAACTATTCTTCACGGTGACTGTCAACGGTTGGTAAAATGGTAACCTGCTTGAATAACTTCAAATCACAGACGTTCCCTCATTTCCGACACCATGCTACTTTCATCATGGGCGAATCTTATGGCGGTGTATACGTGCCGACATTGACGGCAAGAATACTTGATGGCCAAAAGGATTTTCCCATCAATCTCAAGGTAAGGCAATGTGGCGCCAATGCGCAATGTGCAAGTGTTCGAAAGTGTCACACAACCCAGGGAATTGTGCTCGGAAATGCTTGGCTGGCTGCTAACTTGTTCATCGACACCTCAGTTCGTTTTGCCTACGCTCATGGAGTCATCGATGAAGGAGCATGGAATGCTCTCGAGAAAGAGTGCTGCGGAGGTTGCATCGATTCTTGCGAACTAAGTCAGGTATAGATCCCATGTCTTTTAATTTTTACAGTAGCTTTCAAATGACTGGGCTTTCATTTGTAGCCAAGCTGTTTTCGTCACACTTTTGCTAACAAAGTTGTTCTTGAGTTTATTGCACTTTTTGGCGAGCATCTCTTTTCTTGCACAGGTCTCTCTGCTTCATATAAAAAGGTTTTATATATTTACACTTCAGAAAATTCTGGGTACCGGAAAAGTCTAATTACACCCCATCGATACTTGTTATTTCTTAGGGGCGGGGAAAATGTTTTAGACATTCACCTTTTGTATAATGTTTTTTCGGGTTTTGTGTAAGAGTTACTCCTGAACCGCGTCATCCATTGCTCACAATCGTTCACGCGGCGACTCAACTGCTCCACATGAGCTACAATAGAGACTTCATAGCTTAGTTCTGCGCCATCGCAAGGTATCCATTGCGCTACGCGCTGCCAATTACTCCTAGTTTAGGAATGAGGAAGCGGAGGCGTTCCCAGTGAATGATTGTTAAATGCAGCATGCTAGCAACTTGAGCGTGATCATGTTGCCCAATGGGACTGCATTCCATTCCACATGATAGCTATTGTTTTAAGCAGAAGCGAGACGAATTTGATAACAAGGTTCACCCTAAAAAGGGTTGATATGCAACAATCGTGCTCCTACTGAATTGTGCGATTAGTATCAGTTTCTTCGATCCCCTCATTAGGGACCTGCATCAAAAAGCAACGTAGAGAGTCAAGAATTTGAGGTCAAGGTGAGTTAGGTTGTGCGCAGCAATGCACCGCAACATAGCACGAAAACGACAAGTCTCTTAGAATACACAGAGGAAGGGTTGAAATTTCTGCGTATCTTGAGACACATGTGGAAAAGAAGGATTGGAAATTCTAGACGGACATCGTCATGGGCCGGAGGAATAGTGCTGATTTTAGGACCGATGTGAAAATAGTACGGCCATGAGGGTCGTCAACCACCAGAAATCCCAAACTCTCTGAGGCTTAAAACTATTAGAGCGCGTTACAGAGTATACTTGTAAGTGTACAGGGTGGTCCAAAATTATGAGGACCAAGACATTGTGTCGTTAAAAACGCATAGTAGCTTGATGGAACAAACCAACTTCAGGGAAGTATTTGTAACTCTTACCTCAAAGTAATTCCAGAATAGAATTGAGATCTGCCACCTGCCCCGTTAACACGAGCCTTCAGATGAAGGGGATGGCGCGTGCGGTGGCACGCAACTGAGGCGTGTCCAAATGTTTCCAGGCCTTCTGCTCTGCCTTCTTCAGGGAATCAAACTTTGTGTTGCATTTATTTGCGCTTGCATCCAGGGTGTGAAATACAGAAATCTAGAGCTATCAGGTGGAAGGTTCCATTGTAACAATTCTTCGAAAGCAACGAACTCGAAAAATCGCTTTTTAGAGGATTTTTTGCTTTATTCTTGGGTGCTCGGTCCTGTAAGAAGTTCTAAGTAGACTACTCGTGTGGCTTTCTATCCACTACAGATGTGGAGTCTTTAGAGTGTCTGGCTGGGTTTTCACATCAATTTTTTCATTTTGGGTGTACGAAAGTCGACAAGGGGAGACCTAGTTTCTGCATCTGATAATTATCCTGGTGGTAACTGTAACTTTCGAGTCCCCGAATTTTCCATCTGTGGTGGTTCCAAACTTATTGAAGAGTTGAACTGTTGCTCATAAGGAGCTTCCCTGATAGGTTAGACTGCTGCTAGATGTAACGTGCCAGAGCCCCTAGTGAGTTCAATTTGAGGACTGACTCAAAGTGAAGTAGTTATTTCACTAGTTTTGAGAACTTCATGAAATTTGGTTTCATTAGGAAGAAGACATTGTACCCTTTCACATAGTGCACAGAAAACGAGATGAAAATGGAGCGATACGGAAAAAAGTGGATATGACTGCGCGCGCACGCGGTCCTCATAATTTTGGACCACCCTGTAGAGCTATCTTCAGTTTCCGCCGCACTAAACATCCACGTCTCTACTCCGTTGGTTTTAGATATGAGATTCAAAACTAGAGCCAAAAGCAAGCGACAACAAAATTCCAGAGAACGCTGTTGATTACATTGAATTGAAACTAATAACATTCTCCAAGGCTGCTCAACGTAACTCCCTTAAGTGTCATCGCGGTGGCGCAGTGACTCACGTGCTGTGTCGCATCCCGTAAAAATTAGAGAGCGAAGAAACATAGTTGTTGGGCGCTCTGAGTCACGCCGCCAATTTGCAAAAAAAGAAAACATTCTATTCTTGTCATATGTTCCCTTCAACGTGGAAAAATTGGTGGTGAGTATATTTCAAATAAAAACCGTTCAACACCAAACACCAAAGACGGTAGTGAAGTGGTCTCGACTGCCGTCAACACTGGTGTTGAGGTAACGTATTGGGTTTTTCGGAAAGCGCGGATTTCAAGATGCATTGCATGCATGAATTTCTATACTGGAACTTACTTCGAAACCTGAAGCCTTAAAAGTCATTGGCAAGCGCATTCTATCTCCCTCCTTCCAGTAGTTTGAGTTTCAGTTTTACTTGTTATATTGGGGTTTTTATAGAGTTGAACTGAAGGTGTCAAGACAGTGGATTTGGCAAGTTTTCTTCGATGTGCTGAAACTCTGACGTAGGGCTTCTTAACCTGTCAAAGTAACATTGAAGGATGGGGCCAAAGAAGTATGTACCTCAAGAAGTGCAGCACAGCCTTGGCTCCAAAATTGAGGTTAGGAAGAATTCCATAGTGAGTTGAGGGGAGTCATGAGCATGCCTTTGCTGTTGAGGACGGCCTTCCGAAGAGGTGAAAAAGCTTAACATGTGGCTTGCGCATGGGCTGACTGAAAGCAGCAGCTCCACCATCTTCTCAAGGGTCGTTTCCACCGGCTTTACGTAAAAAACTACTAGTATTCGGTGTGCATTGTCATCTGCGATGGAAAATGGACTCTTACGACTACAGAAAGCCATCTCTCTAAAGTTTGACCGCGATGAATCTTCAAAAACTTCTCCAAAGCCGAAATTATAGAAGATTAAAGTTGAGCTCATTCGGCTGTCTTCCACGGGGCTGATCCAACCCAGCTCTTGGAAACCAGGTGATTTAACACAACACCAATGTCTCTCCAGCATACCGATGAGATGCTCTAGAAACATCAAGTTCGTCAACCGAGAGAAGTAAACAAAGCCTCCTTCATGGTGGCGCTCAGCCACACGTCCCATAAACGACCTCGCAAGTATTGAACAAACTGGCGTACGAAGCTTCGATCCACACGTCTTACTCACTGGACCTCTCCCTCACCAATACCCCCTTTTCCAACCATCTCGACAACTTCTTGAGTAAGAAATGCTTCAATGTTCAAACTGATGTGAAAATGATGCTCGACGATATCATCGCCTCCAGTAGCGCTGATTTTGAAGTGGAAGGACATTTCAGTACAAATCTTGTTAAGAAAGATTAATGCTTTCCAATACTTTTTGTTACAACGAAAAATAATCAGTTTGAGTGAAAATATGCCTCTTTGAAAATGGAGGTCAAAAACCCGCATTACTTTCCGAACAACCTAATGGATCTCATCCCGATCTAACCAGTCTGAAGAACTTCTCTCAAAACCTCTGCGAATCCTCCAAACCTGACGACTCGCTGACTTCTGACTGGCTAGTTCAAAAACCCACCCTAAGATCGCAAGGGTGAATATCGGTCGAGGAAATCCTTCGACAGGGGGTCGTATTTGCAGGCTGGGCCATGGGGGTCGTACTCGTGGGGTCAGTAAAACACATCAGTGGTATCATGGTGCAGATAGGAGGGATAGGGTGTAGCGCAGCAGAAAACAAGGATATGTGAGAAAACATGGTATAAATATTTATTGCAGGCCATGTCGCTCGATTCTCTGCCTTATGAGAAGGACGATTACAAAAAATCGTTTATTTCCTCTCTCCCAATCGTTTAATTGAATGATAATTATTGTTTCACTTTTTTTTCAAACTGTAAAAATATTATACCATCTCGCTTTTTATGACCCGTCAATACGTGTATAATTATTTTTTGATACCTCTTCGGTCCCCAATAAGCCCACTCTGTATCGTCTTGGGTCTTCGGTTGAGGTTGGCGGACCTACTAAGCTGGTATCCGGAGCCGCGATCCCTCCCCGCGGCTTGCAGTGTTTGGCCGGGGCACTGCCCTTCCTCTTCCTTCCGACCCTTGGCCCGCCACCCCCCCCCCTCTCCCCTAATTATTCTTTTGTATCATGCTATTATGACTTTTTTTACTGTAAACATGTACCGTACTATCTCCTCATTGTGAATATTACGGCAATATAAATAAATAAATAAATAAATAAATAAATAAATAAATAAATAAATAAATAAATAAATAAATAAATAATAAATAAATAAATAAATAAATAAATAAACGGCATTTTCCGCAGGAAACAGGGCCATGTGTGCACACGAACTGCAACGGCGTTCCCAGCACCTATCTACCGCCTGCTTCCTCGCCCATAATATTGAACGTTTCAGAAAGTTTTGTCGTTTTCCGGCCCCGAACTTTAAATGCATGTATCTCAGCATAAAGCAAACCTTTCAACGGCTGGATGTAGCAAACCAAAATGGCGCGAACTTTTCTTATAAGGAACCATTGCTATTGGGAACGTCACTGTTCACAACCAATCTGGAGCCGTTGAGGCGACTGAGCTGGGGAAGATCGTTGGCATCAATGTTGGGTTTGAGCATTTCTCTTCAAGGAAGCTATGCGAGATCGTCAGAAATGTGACAGTAGATAGACCAAAGGTCTACTAAGTAAGATAGTTTCGCAGAATCACTTTGAAGTCCAGCTGGTCCAACTTGTGAAGGGTTTTCGATGCGATGTACGTCCAGGACACCTTTCAGATGTGTGTTCACCTGAGGAATGCTGGACAACATGTCTTGGAGTTTTTGGTGAATTTTGGGGTAATGTTAAAGGCAAAAGTCAGGCTCGTGTTTGGGCATTATGGCGCCTGAAATTGAGTGTAGAGATGGGAGGTGGAACGACAGTGAAGAAAAAACGCAAAGAAACCGTCGACAAGACCGAAATCGAAACCCCTTCCCTTCTAGCAGTGAAGGAGGCTTGCTCGGGGGAGAGCCACGTCCAAACGAGTTTTCCGGATATGCCAGCCGTTCCATCGGTTGATACGGCAATCAACCTAGCTGATCTCACACGTTAGGCCAGCCACGCACCACATCCCGCGGTGGGCGGGACCAGCTGATGAAACGAACCCATCGCTGTAAGTAGTAGGCCAGAGGCCTTGACGGCGCGCAATCTCGAGTCAGGAGTGTGGCATCACCCCTCTGAGCGCATTCCTGGAAATATTAGTGATGGAAAGGCCTTCTGGTTACCTAATCCTGACTCGTGGCTTTAAGACTGCTTTTCCACTGTAACAGCTCCCGATTATGCGGAAGGAACCAGGCCTAGCCGTTGACCTTATGAAAGTACCCTCCTTCAGCACAGTTTAAGTTTTGCACAGTTTGTAGAGCTCTATCGCCGTCGAGCTATCCAGCAAAGCTTCGTGGACTGTAGAGAAGAATCCGCTCTTTATTGTACGTCGCAAATCTGTAGAAAAACGAGTCGCTTTTATCACATAAAACAAGCTACAATTTGATGGACGACCCTTCAAATTGGTGATTTGTCGCGGCACGCCCCTATCAAATTTTTTGGACTTTCCAGCTACTTCCGTATAGCTTGGCTCTACAAACCATATACGCCCAGGTTGGGCAGAACCTCCTCTATGGTCTTACGCACGCTCTTTGAAGTTCCGTGCTCCTCTCACCCCCGCACGAGTTGCCTCAATCAGAACTTTTGGCTAATGGGTGGCAACGTCCGATATCTGACTACCACTAGTATCATACCCAAGGCTCTCGCTTTCGTTACAATAACTTTTCGAACTACTGCATATGAGCACATTTATTGTGAATCTAGGCCAAGTGCTAACGAGTGGCACGGAGGAGCTGCAGAGATAATGTTGGTCATGCGATATCGCAGTAGCAAGTGTCATCGCGCACAGAGAGCCTAGTTCGTCTGCAACGTGCACCCCGTCCTCGACAACCGACTGCTGTAACTGGCTACTGGGGAGTTCAGCGTCAGGAAAATTATTCAGTGCAAAAATTGGGAAGGATGGATCCGTGAATTCGCCTTTGATCTGGCTAAGGACCAAAGGCTGAGTAGGTGATCGTTAGATCCTGAGTCACTTACTGATCACCGATCCATACCGCCCGTATCGTGCCGTATAAAAGGCCAACTTTTGCCATGTTAATTATTCTATTCCTCGTTCTAATAAATCTGCTATTAGCTCGACTCCTGCACTTCCACAGCCACAGCAGAAGCGCTGAGCTGCATACGGATCAGAAGACCGATTTAAAGAAAGTTGTTCATTAGCACTCCAAGAGATTTGGACAATTGTTTCATTTGCGGAAGCGGTCTCTGCTATGTACTAACTTTCAGAATTTCACCGATAGCTGCAACACACTGATGGAGAATATCCTCGAACTCCTTTATTATGGAGGGCTAAACCCCTATGATATATACAGAGACTGTGACGCAAACCCGACATTCAACGTAGAAAACATGAGCCTCACTTGGAAAGGTATGAATTCTTACTTCCTAAGTGCATCCTCTTGAGCTGGTGTTCCTTATTTTAGGAGCTGCTGCCAGTAAAAATATCTCTGATTCGCTCAAGAAAAAGACCGGAGATCCTTTAAAATTTTTCGAGGTGAGAGAAGTGTGATTTATTCGTAATCTACAAGGAAACACTGGCTCCCAAGGTTAGCAAACTTCTATATGGAGATGCCCCATGCTTGAATGACTTACCTATGAACACATACATGAACGATGCAGAAGTTCGAGAAACGCTTAAAATTCCGACTGGCTTGCCACCATGGGAAGTCTGCAGGTAGATCCATTTTGTCCTCTATGAAGAATGAACAGAGGGCAATCTAATTTGCTGATCATTGCAGCAACGAGGTGAAGGCTGCATATCTAGAACAATACATGGACATGGCACCACTCATCAAGGACATCATCGCGGCAAATATTCGAGTGCTTCTCTACTACGGAGACACGGATATGGTTTGCAACTTCTTGATGGGCCAGAAGTTCTCCCATGGGCTTGGATTGGAGGTGAGCAATCTCTTCCATCTATTCCTCTCCGTTCAAGAATGGAAAGGCAGTGAGCTATAATGACCAATTCTCGTTTCCGGAGTATTCTTCAGTCGAACATGCTGATATCATGTAATAGGTAGTTATGACTTTGCACGTGTGGAAACCCCGATTTACATTACCAGAAGGAGATACCTTCTTCGGGCTTTGCATGCGATAGCATTGTTTACCTCCGCCATATGCAATATTACCCTCCCCAAGCTATCAGCTTTTCAGCAAACTCTAGGCAAAACTCCATGGTTGTTCAATCATCAAATCGCCGGATTCAAGACACTATACAAGGGACTAACTTTTATTACAGGTACTTTTGCGGTCAAGAAGCCTCTAATCAGTTTTTTTTTTCAAAATTTCCTAATCAGTTTCGTACATCTTGCTTCAGTGCGAGGCGCTGGCCACATGGCTGCAAAATGGAAAGCTCCGCAGATGCACTACGCTATTCAGCAATTTTTGTTCGATCGTCCCATTTGAAATATGATAATTCTTAGCAATAAAGATTAACTTCTTCTTTAAAATGAAGCAGTGTGACCTCTCACATCCTACAGGGGGCTAACAATTAATCCTCTCAATCCTCTCTCCACAATTGCAACTGAATTACTATAATTAAAGACATTGGATTCAAAACGAATCATCCTTAATGAAGATTGAAGAGCATTATATTAGGTCGGTCAAAAAGTATCCGCCGTTTTGACCCCCTAATTTTGAAGCACCACAACTTTGCTGAAACACAATCTTTTTGTTCGAAATAAAAACTGCTATGTCCAGCAGATTGTTCTCAATCAGACCCATGCTAAGAACTTCCCTTCCTATAGATCTTTAATTTATTATAGGCTAAAAGCTGTAGGAAGGCGCATTTGACATGCCTCAGTTCTCAACGCGATTTCTCCTCCAAGAATTATGTTGAAAAGCGGGGAATTGGTGGTTCGTGAAAGCTGACTTTTGAGGCATTTCTGAATGGATTCTACAGAGCGTATTTTGCGGTGGGCGATTTAGCGCTATCGTGGTGAAGGACTGGACCTCATTTTTTCCTTGAAGCAGACTATCATCCCCGTAGTTTCTTATGTTTTATGTTCTACTTTACGACAGGACTCGGCCGTCGTCGAATGAGTCAATTCTCGGACTTTGAAATGAGCTAGGCCATCGAAAATTGAGGAAAATCCTTATTGGAGGCGCTCCAGGTTTTGCAGCGTTCCAAGGCAGCTTGGTTTCGTCCACATATTTGGTAACCCTTTCACTGTTAGCGTGCAGAAGCATAGTCTTACCCCACACTATTACCCATCTTGAAAACTGTTCCTTACTGTTGCAAGGAAGAGTCCAAGCACACACCTCCACGCGCGTCGCAACTGCTAAAGCTGCCAGCACGGGTTACTCCGGTGAATAGATTGACGACATTTTTCCTGCTTTCTCACAGCGTCCACCAGGCTGAGTTCGGTGCCTTTAGAGACCCAACCTCTAATACCACACCTGTAGTTGGGTATCAGTGATAAGCTTCTTTCATTCCGTCGATTGAGGGCACTCCTATCTCCACGCGCATCACTTACGAGGATTATTTCTCCCAGGCCCAAGCCTGCCGAGCTAATCTTGCGCTAGCAGCAACTCCTTCTCAATGCAGTCGCCATATTACGAGCTGGCCCTGGCGTGTCTATTCCAAGTTTGAAGACATGAAGTGGCAACAATCGAAAATCACGATTTTGCTTATCCTAAAAAGGAGGGTAAAACGACAAATGTTCTCGGAATCACCTCGAACCTTCGTATGAATATGAAAGGGCTGATCTTCCTCTATAAGATGACACCCAAGTTGTTTGAATAGTTGCGCGAAAGAAAATCAGGGACTAATCGAGGTGCAAAACGGCGGTTCTTTTTTGAACGACCTAAGCCTAAGAAATGATAGTCACCTACATGAACGACATTCGAAAAAATTACAATGCGAGACATGGTGGCAAGGTTCATAGCCGAACGAGGTACGACGCTCGAGGAGCGACTTTGTCAGGGTATGCACAATGGATTCTCGCATATAACAGTATGTACTGTCTACACCTATCTATAACGCAACCGATTGAGGGTATTATGTAGCAGCTTTAACATGGAGCAATTACGGTAGACGTCTTTGAGCTTGACAGCGATAACAGATGGCATGGTATTCTGAAGACGGTGGTGAAGAAGGGCATGCTTCCGCTTTTGGGGGACATCTGAGAAATATTTCGCCGTGAAGCTTTCATCAACAGTGGCATATTGCGCGGCGAAAGTTTGGTGATGTCGCTATAAGCAAAGTGAATGAAGTGACCCTTTTTTTGCCCCTCCCCTTAATATTCAACTTCCGTCAACAGTGACACGTTTAGCGCCATTTTCCTCGGACTTTTTCTGACCATTGCACAATCAATACATTTTTTAGGACACCCTTCCTCAATTGGCACCCTCGAAGACAACATTGAAAAAATCGGATGTTACGTAAGTTAATAAGCCGGGGATTCGATACCCCCGCCCTCGACGCTAAACAGTATGTGCAGCAAAGAATAAACTGAGGTTAAAATTTATTTCTCCAGTATCTCTCTTACACAAGCGTCAGTTGAGTTGAAAATATATCACAGAGATAATTATATGTCGACAAAGGAGATAACGACGAATGAAGAAGACACATCAAATACATGTCGTTGCTGATAGCCAAAGCATGAGGAGCAGTAAATCAGAATTGCAACGCTTGTTGCATACCTGAGGTGACAGAAACCTCTTAAAGGTTATGACGGCACACAGTGTTGTGGTTGGTGAATAGCACTGAAAAAGTCGCGAGAACGATCTCTTATAAGAACGGTCACTTCGATGGGAATGAAAACAAAATCAAAATAATTTGGAACATGACACCCGATTTGGAACAGTATCACATTGTAATTAATTACGCCGGCACATCATAATATACAAAAAAGCAGGATAAATTTTTGTGAAGAATGAGGCCAAAAAGTCAGTCCTTCATGTTCTTTGGGATGTTTCCACCATTCATTTCGTCCGTTGGGTTCCCGTATCGAATCCACTGGTGAACTTGATAGGAGCAGCAGGTTTGTCTTTCTTCGGAAAGGACGACACGAACTGAGACGCACCTCGATTCTCTCGTGAAGGAGAACTGTCTGAAATGAAAAATCGGTAGAAAAAAGAATGAGTAATGAAAGAATTTGAATCATATTTTTCGAATGCTTCGATTGAACAATCTTGTTTGTGAAAGAAGAGAAAGGTAGTGGGACCGACAATTGCAACCCAAAACCTAGCAGCCAAATGGCTGCTATTCCACGGTCATAGTTGGCGACTCACTAGCGCGAATCGCCAGCGCATGCCTTGTGGCTAGTCAATTTCCATGCAGTACTCGCACTAATTAGCGCTATTGCTATTTGTGGCAGCAGAATCAAGTTACCATTTACCAAGCGCTGAGTCTTTGCCCACATACAATGCCAACGAGGGGATAATCCAGACTTCGTATATTTTATTTCCTGTTGATTATTACGTTATTATTTTTTATTATTATTATTATTATTATTATTATTATTATTATTATTATTATTATTATTATTATTATTATTATTATTATTATTATTATTATTATTATTATTATTATTATTATTATTATTATTTTTTATTTTATTAACATATTAGTTAGCAAGCAGTAACTTACATATAGGCACTTGTTGAAAATGAGTAATTGTTCCGCTCGACAGCGAATGCATCTGAGGACTTCTTCTTTGACGAACCTCTCCAATATTCCGAGTACTTTTTAGAGAAGTGTTCTCTGACTTCTGAAAGAAATTCCATTTCAAATTAGCACTACAAATGAACTGCGAAAGATTCAGCTATCATCACATGTTTCTGTTGGTAAGGCATAAGTTCATAGCTACCTGAACATCTTCTCACAGCACCATGAATTGAATGGCACATATGAGTAAAACTGCTCTGCGGCGGATTAATAATGATAAATGATTCAGATTCGCAGCCAAAGTGAATGCCTCCTATGAGGGCCGTATCCGGTCATGTGGGTTGTGTACTTTCAGGATCTGCGGGAACAGGATTTATGATAGAGGAATATTTAAAAAGAATTTTTGAACTTCGTAGCTCCCGCGAAGGTCACGTAAAGGTTGAAAGAGGATGTAAGATTAAAGTTGAGCTACTGACGAGCTGTGGAAGCGGCATGAGTTAGTGGTATAAGTGTGCTCGTGACCGTCTGCGTTTGACCAAATTTCTTGTCGATTGCCGTTTCGAAGTAGCAGACTTAGACATCCTTTCTCTTTCGTTGTGCCAACAAAAAGCCCCCCCTGCCAAGAGGACATAGCCAGTAGTTGTGAAATTTCGGAAGCTCAAGTGCGTTCTAAAATGAGCTGGCCATTGCGCATTCGTTGCTTGCAATGGCCGTCCGTCTTAGCAATCTCTGCCCTCGATGATCATTTGTGAGATGATTTATCTATGACAGGAACTACTGATTACTTACTATTAGTTGATTAATTTAGTTTTCATGTCATGCCGTTCAAATAACAATTCGATTATTGTATTAACATTTGAAAGAAAAAAAGACAGGGGAAATCCAATTTTATACTTGGGAGCTTGACATTACCACCCTTTCTTGCAAAATTTATCGCTACAATTCTGAGTTTGAGGCTTTACCGTTTTCAAGTCGTGGGCGTGAAATTTGACATGATTCAACAAAAGAGGCTACAATCCATTGTGTTTCAAGTGCGATTTTGAAACACCATTCTTATTCTTTCATTCAGTCATAAACCATGAGTCACCTGCAGTTGCGAGATATCTTCGGCTACATTTTGATGAGCACCTACTTCTGGGGATGCAATAAAATACGGCTCAAGGAATGCACTTTGCAAAGAAGCTCTTTCACTTACCAGATCTTCCTCTCCTTCTGCAATGAATATCGTCGTCGTACGGGCACTTTCCCATGCTCGATCCCATAATCTGCAAATAATTGTGAAATTGAGAATCAAAGGTTCTTCGCAGAGTTCATGACGACCACGTGGGAAGGAAAAGTCAAAAAAACCGAAACCAATCTAGACGATAATGCATAGCGTAAATCAAGCGAGATACATGAGATAGTGTTCTGAGCATGAAATCTGCTTCTAGTGGAAATGCAGAGAAGTCTTGATACGCGCTGAGATGAAACATACGGAGGCATACTGCGGCACTGACAATCACGACGTGTCATGAGATCGAGTCCCCCACGAGACAACTGAGCCCTTCGTCCTGCGGAGGTTAACTTTGAATTCGAACATCCTTGAGTGTTATGGCTCAATTGTAAGGGTACACACTCCTAAATATTCCCCCGGGTACGGTGTGGAAGTCTGAATAGTGCACAGCAGGAGAAGCTCGTCATGATTTTTATTTTTAGAACAATTAAGCTGAGAGTAATGAGTATAAAAACTTGAATGCATAACTTTAGTCACTTGTACTACATAATAGCTTGCAATAAGTCAGCCGAAACCGGTTCTGCGCTCCCGTGTTTTCCTTAAAGGAATCTTCCACGGAAAAAGCTCCGCCTCCATTACCACAGAAAAACGATACCTTAGGCCCCTAGCCTCATGAGCATAGCAAAAAGAACGGAACATAAGCGTTAGTTTCGATAATACTAATCCTACACACAAGACAAAATGATCACTCTTTCCGTGGAAGGTATCGTTTTCTGTGGTAATGAGGGCGGAGCTTTTTCCGTGGAAGATTCCAAAGGCAAGATTCGGGATAAAATAGGTGTGGAAAAGCGTTCAGTTATGAAGCTAGAGGTGGGAGGTGGTCTGAAAAGAGAAGGAAAGCAAACGAAACCACCGATTACGCCCCGTACAGAGACCTCCCCTATTTCAGCCACATTCCACCTTGGGATAGAGAAGAGGCGCGTTGGACGAGTTTCACGAACCTAACTCTACTTGCTCCAGTGTCAATAACATTGATCGCGCTGGGACCACTGCCTCAAATGCGCCCGCGCTTTTCAAGCAGCGCCACGTGGCAACCGACAGCGGAGGGTGGGGCTTGCGGACGAAGGTGTGAGTTGCGGGTCGGACGAGCTCCTTGCGCCTTTGTCGCGCACTTTCAAGCGGCAAAAGGGGGCGACATCAACGCTTGTCCGCCTGCTACTACCCCCGGGATGGAACAGGCGAGCGCGCCTAATCGCGGAGCGTGCCTTTAAAGTGAAAAAAACATAAAAAAGCCCTAAACACTTTCTACTTCGGAGGAAAGGTCCGATCTAACAGCTCAAAGCTTCAGCTGGCACTTATTGCCCTTTCCGAATATTGCCAAAGCGACAATACCAGAGATATCGGCAACGGTAGCTTCCCGAGCTCGAATCCGCTAATAAACTTTTATTGTAAGTCAGAATCCTCGATTGATTGTTATCCGAGCCAAATTGAAGGCAGGTCCAGAGATCAGGCACACTGAACGCGTTCCATTCCCATCACAGAAGACAGACGAACAAGCGTCATTGTTGCGCCGCTCCTGCGACTTGAAAGTGCTCCCAGAAGACGTTTGAAGCCATTCGTCCCGCATACACACCTTCGTTTGCATGCCCCGCCCTCCCCTCTCTGCTCCCACGTGACGTTATGAGAAAAGCGCTGATGCATTGCGGCTCTGTGTCATTGGCAGAGCTAAGCTCTTGAAATGAGACTTCGTCCAGCACGTCCCTTCTTTAACGCGTCTAGGTGTAATGCGCTGCAATATAGGAGGTTCCTTCACGGGCCATAAGGGTGCATTTTTCGAATCCTGTTTCTTTGCCACACCACCTCCCCTCCGGTTTCATCACGTAAAACGTTCTCCCACAAGCCTCTAGAGTCGGGGTTTTTCTCGAGGACAGTCTCAACACTTAACAATCGCTAAGGTCCTTTCACGATTTAATGTTCTGCTAACTCCCATAGTTGTTCTGGCAATATATTTGGCTGCAACCCGCAGTCAGCAGAAAGTCGCACGATTTGAACTTGATTGAATAATCCTCCTTGTTTGAAGTAAATGGTCTATTTTCGCGCACAAGGAATGCTCTTCAAAGGGCCCTGTTTCTTCCGTTGGCCCTGCATAGGCGCTATTCAATCTAAATGTTGAATATTGTTCCTTAGTGACCAATGAATTGTCGTTTTCATTATGAATTCGCGCGAAATAAATTATCCACAAGATTCGGGATTTTTGCTCGAGTTGCTAGAATAATATGTGCCCACGTCTTATAAAAACTTATGCAATTGTTGAAACTTGGCGATATAGCAGCCACAATGAATAGAACAAAGAATGCTTAAAAAGTCCGGCGAAGGTGCAATGTCTCTGGATTGTTCTCAGGCCCTATACGGCTAAAAAAGAAAGGGTTGGATATATTTAGCTGCTGCATAAGTCTTGCCAACGCCTGCAGTTTTTTGATTTCACAAACTCATAATTCTTGGAAGTTATTGCAGAATTAGGGGGGAAAAGTTTGGAAAAAATCGCTGTGTCAAGAGATCCATGCGCCTCCATAGCGCAAGCTCATTTGTTAGGGAATTATGGTTTTGAAGAACTACTGCAAGATGATCAGCTTTGCTATTTGCAACACAGACGCTTCAAGTGGCTAAGTTCAGGTTATCTTCAAAAATTAACAACAAAAAATGTTGAATGGCAAAATGATCTGTGCAAGTGTCCGTGGCCATCAGTTGAGGGACATTTTTGTGTCTTCACGTGGTGGGTTGATGTGCTGTTGCACCAACAGGCTCCGCTTACCATACGAGGGACCAAACCTCGGATTATTTGCCATCCAGGCCAACAAAGCCCTCTATTCTCATCGGCTAATCGTTCATGATATATCTGTAGGAATGCACTTCGTACCTATTTCGCTGGTCGAGCTCGCGCCAACTGGTTATTCGCCCGAAGTCGCCATTCCAAATCTGAATCACAATTCTGATTGGGGTGATGCGTAACGTCATCCTCTACAGGTTGAGTAATGAGGCTTCATCGTTCATCATTTACCTTTAGGTCCCGAAAGACACAAGTGGCGGACTTCCCTATGTAGCCTTTCATCAGAAACCGTTTTCCAGTGAGCTATTAACTCATGTAAAAGATACGTAATATGTCGAATCTCATTGAAATTGTTTTTTACTTAATCCACTAAATCTCAATGTTTCTCATGAAAATGAAACCAGAAGTACAAAGGTGTCATTAGAAGAAAAAGAAGAGAGCAGCTCAGATCACTTGAAGGAAGATTCCACAATAAGGTCGGAGGTCAAGGGAAGGGGAAATTTACCTAAACACCCCGGTTTGTTCACGTTGTGTCGTGAACAAGAAGAGGGTTAGTTAGAGACGATCGTGCAACCCTTTCCCCTTGTCAAATACATTCAACCTGCACAAGAGCACATCCTCCACCTTTGCTTATAACTCATTCCCACAACAATGCGAATGATTCAGTTGGCCTCATTAAAATGTGCTTTCAACTCAAGTACGTGTGATACATTATCACTTGGAAATGGGAACAATGGATTCAAAAGTGAATATCAAAAAAATCCCAAATGCACTAGTCCCACAAAAATCCCACAAAAAGCATGACTGGTCTGTTGACCTTCGCAAGGGGTCGTAAATTAGACCGTTCATATACATATTACAAGGTTTTTTTGCTACACCTGGCGCGATTTTTCTGCGAAATAGTTCCTTTTAATTAAACTCCACGATTGACTTACCTACTACCTATTGTTTTACTACCGAGATATTCCGCTAAAACTGCAATAAATCAGCGTTTATGGTCGATATTTCTATGAGCATTGGGCGCGATTTGCATGCGCAAGCTGGACTGAGGGGTGGGCTCCACGATGAGCTTTCCTAGGTTGAGTCATGTCCAGATCAGGCAAGATTGAAGCTTCCTCCTTGGGAAGTGTGTAATAGATTGAAGAGAT